GCAAACTGAGTTCCGGAGACCACTCATTGTTCCTATAAGTAATGGAATAAAAACAATTTTAAGAAAATCGAAGAACAATTTTGAAAGAAAAGCTTTTGAAAAGTAATGTGCCAAACCGGGTATCTCGTCACAACTGGTTACTAAATTATTCAATTTGGAGATCAGATTTTTCACATCTACAAATTTGAAACTGTCGGATAAAACGAGTGAGAAAAATAAACGAAAATTTTGAGAAATAACAACCGCTTTAATAAAGCCAAATCGAATGTGTAAACCGCGTTGGAGTCATCCAGTTTAGGAAACGAGCGGAGCTGGGTTGAAGGGCACTGAGCCACGGTGACTCACCGATAGCTATACGACGAATTCGCTGGATCAATGTCAACGAATTCCACGTATCGACCGCTATGCGCTCACCGGAACATCCGGACTTCTCTTGAACCTGGAATCCAGCCATCTCCGACGTCTACATATTCGCCACTTAAATAAATTGCATCATTGAACTTAACATTCATAAAGAATTCCTAATAAACGAAGTAATATCTATAATTTTCTTTTTTTTTTTATAAAATAAAAAAATCTTATACATCAACGATCGCTAACGTATTTATCGAAAGAATCGTCCACTTTCGACTTTCGTTCAAATCTAATTAGAAATCGACACGAACGAAGGTGTAACCACGTTCCTTTTTTTTACCTGTATGCATCCTTCTCTCAGTATCAGCTTTTACTCGATAATTTTCGGAATCGTTAAAACGCATCCTCTAAATACAAAAATAATGTAGAAAGCTAATACAAAGATAGAATCTATCGCTACGTGATTATTAATCTGTTGGGGCAATATTAAACGTCGTAAAACTTTATCATCATAGAGTGGCTATGAAAAGTCATAGTATCTTTAGTTACCAACGAAGCGCTTCTTTCGTCAGCTTGTACATTTCGTTTTTATAATATCAACTTTTAACAAACATGTGAAAGTATTACTAAATGGTACGGGATTATAATATATTTAGACGTAATTAATTAGTACGTAAATAAATGTACAGTAGATACTTTTTGTAGCCACTGTATATATGTAAATAAATTTGTCGTCTTTTCGTTCGTCGAAGGTGAGATGGAATTTTTGAAAAATTCGCCAGGGCTCGGTACGAGTCGAAAAGCAAGAGGAAGTTTTAGGCGAAACTGTGCCATGGTGGCGAAGTTTCAGCCAGGTTCGCGAGCAACCGAGAGATTTGCGAACCCCGGGAAATGCGTTTGGGTTTGGGAACCCCCAGACTGGAGGGGATTGCCCCAGACACCCCCTCCAGCGGACAGATCTCCCTCCACCATGGCTATAGCTGCTTCTGGAACCCTAGCCAACGTCAATGGTACGGGGTGCAAAACCCTGTCTGCTTGATAAACCGTTGCACCGCCTACGCACGATATGCATTCATCTACAATAAAAGAAGAGGGGTAAAAAATAAAAAGACTTTAGAACAGAATTATATAAAAAAAAAGGAAAAAAGAGAAAACAGAAAAAACGTAGAACTATCGTCTCTTTTATTTTATTTTTAAACGAATTAACGGTAAAAGGAATGAAGTGGCAAATATCGAAGAATCGTGCGTGCAAACAGAAGATCGCCGATCCCATCGGTTGACACGCTTCAAGACAGCTCTCCCGCATAATGTTTCGCAATTAGGCCTTAAACTTTCTCCGTTAATTAAGATTAATGGGCGTTCGTGTTATTAGAGAGCAGACGGGACGATTGTTTCAATTGCTTCGAAAGTGATAAATTTTCTCTAAGGTTTTCCCTTTCGTTCGAAACCGTCACGGTGAAGCGGCGATCAACGTCGAAGAATCGTTCACGGTACCGTGATCGGCGAACCCGCTCAATTTTCTCGTCTTATCGCAGCCAGAAAATAGCTTCGTAGTTTAATCTTCCGACGCACGAGTCTTTCGTTGATTCGTCGATGAAGATAATTCAATTTTTGTATAATAAAAGCAAACTGGATGCAACCTCGATGGACAATCAGCTCGTATAATAAGAGTTTTCCAATTTCCTCTACTACTTATTACTTTTCGTTCGTACGATCGAAGTTCACGCTCAGATAACCGAATTCAATCGCTAGCAGTCCATTTAATCGGCCATTAATTACGATTTCGTTCCAATAAACGAAGTTCTAATGTACATTTTAATACAAAATATCGAAGCTTGTGTTGCCGTTCGCGTATGTCACGGACACGCGCATTGAAAGATCAATACTTTTATGACAATCATATTTTATTCGTCGTTCGTTATTTCTTCGCGCGAACATACGTTCGAACCCGCTTCCTTCCAAGCATATTACAATGATAATTAACATCGATGCATAGGAAATGGTACAGTAGCAATCAGAGCTTTGCGAAGGGTGCGGTACGAATCAATCCTTTACCATGTTCGTAATTAGTCCGACTCGTTACAGTTGTTTAATCAATAGGCCGATCGATGCACGTGGACTAGATGTAAACAATCGATGTATTTCGGTGTCATAGGCTATATAACGCCGGTACGAAAGCTGGGGTTGCGAACCCTAGCGAGGTATCCGGCCAGCCAACCAGCCAGACAGACTAACATGAAAGGGGGTGACCCAGACACCCCCTCCACCGCGTTGTTTGCAAGCAGCTCGACTACCGCATTGGATAACAATCGCAGGGTTAAATGCACTAGCGAGCCAACAATAATCAGATTGGATGCCTCTGATGGAAAATTAAAACGACACTCAAGGTCGAATGTAAATATCGTATCGTGTAAATTCATCGAGTACTCGACGACGAGAAATTTCTTCATAAACGAAGAGATATATAAAAGATAGGATTTTCTTTTCACTGTTTATTAGGAAATAATTTCAAAATGTTCAGATTTTGAATTTAAGCGAATACGTAATTTCTGTAACGTTTGTTAATAAAAATCCCGATGGATACATTGGAGGAAAGATTCCTATCTATAGTTAATAATTGACAGTAATAATCGGCACGACAGGGAAATCTCTATTCGTGCTTGATACGATTATCGATAATAACGTCGATAAATTCGCAAAAAGGAAAATACTCACTTCTATAGGTAATAATTATTAATTAGAAGCGCAACGGATACAACGAAGATGGCGCAACATGACACGGACAACGCGAGGATAAATAAAGGAGAAAGACCGAGAGGAAGGGCTGGCTTGCTATATAGCTGGCTGCGAGGGGAGAGACGATAGGAAGGAAGGAAGGGCAGGAGAACGTAGGGAGGGAAGGATGATAAGGTGAGGAAGGGAACGGGGAGAAAGAGAGAGAGTGAGAGGAGGGCGACCGTGGTGTTGCTGACCCGACGACCGCTGTAACCTTGCGTTCCGACGCCACACATCCAGATCAAACCATCTCATAGATTATCCGAGGACCTTTAGATTCTGAGCAATCGCGTATACACGCTTAGGAACTATCGGTCGATTTTCGAATTTATCCCCCTGTTTTGTCACATCTTTTTCTTCGCCTATCTGTTCTCGAGTAGGCATTGATTAATGAACTGGATCCTCTTGCATAATAATTTAGTAACTGATGATGTCAGTGAATCGATCATGCAGTGAGAAATTACAGGCTCTGACTTCTATTGCATAATCTGATCTGATAATTCGATGAGTGTACGTCGAATGTGACAATCAGTTTTGTTAAATGTTGTTTGTAAATTTTCATTCGAAGCAGATTGGCTTTTATTTTACTAATTTCTATGTCTTTTTACATTCAATCGTTTTCTTCGATGTCCGTAACTATATAGAATTTTACGAAGAATTTCAAATATCGGCGACGTTCAATGTTAATTACAAAATTTAAAGATTGAATAATAAATGTTTCGTATAACAATGTACGGATCTTCATACGGAAAATCATTCAATTCTGCTAAAGTCACGAGCTATGTCGTCTCATCGAAATAACCACTACGTTTGCATTACACGTTGTAGAATACCGTCGTCGATATTATGCGGAATAGAAAACACGCCGTTCTATTATCATTTACATTTTTATGAGTCGACCCACCCTTTGCCAGGATTTACGCTTGGTCTATGCATGTAAGTGTCACGAGGTACTTCTTTCATATGAAATCACATAATTCTTATGGTAAAATTGGTAATAAGAGCTCTATGAAGTCTGCATACATTAGAAACATTTTAGAGTCATAGAGCGAGGCTCGTTAAAGTTACCAATGCGTATACATTTTAACATCGAGGTCATCCTATGTCTAGGTCAAACCCGTGATCTACATGGAATTTATAGAAAATCATTTTTAAAAATAAGGTATTTCTTTGAATAGATGTAGATACATCTGGATAGATGTAGATACATACATTGTGTCTGAATTTATTTTTCGCGCTTTTAATTTTCATATAAAACAATAATAAAGATTATTCCCTTGTCGCAGAAACACATCGTTATTATGTTCTTTCTACATATTTGTTCCTTTTTTAATAAAATGCTATCGTTGAAAACAAATATTTCTACGAATAATTTATCATACATTTACTTCTGTTTTGTACATATTTTATTATGCGATGTTTGAACGTTCCCACGTTTTCAAACCAGACAGTCTGCCATCTTAAAGGAAACAATTGTACTTTCACATAAATGTATCCTTTTATCGTATGCAGTACACTACATAAGCTGTAGAAAACTACATTACCAACGACTATTTATACAGAAACTACGTGTGTGTCTTTGTCGATTGATATATGACGCCACATGATTGCAATAATATCAATGTACTGTCACGAGATGGCAATGCATGACAATATAACGATTATCCATCTTTTTCTACAAATTAAATATTGACTATTTATCATCAAGTTACTTTTTTATATAATAAAGAATCCCTGTATCAACTTCTTAAACTGTTTGAATCTAGAATTTCTGAATTTTTCGTCATCATGAAAATTTGAAATCATTAGTAGTTTGGCGCCAATATCGAATCGTTTCCTTTTCACTGTACGGCGCTACGATCGTATCGTGCCGGACATGCTGCACCCGAATTTGTACCGCCATATTGTCTCTCACAAGCGAGGAAAAACATTGTGGTTGCGTGATGTGATTTTATTCGAAATTCAAAAGAAGTTGATCATTCAGTGTTCTTGGCACTTGGTTACAATCGCTGAGTAGATACGTACAGGAACTCGAGAAGAAATTGACGCCGATCGACAAGTAATTATACAGGTATGTCGGTCATTTTTGCAAACCTCGTGCTGCTGTGACTCGCCTAGCGGCTTTCCTTTGTTATCTTTTAGTTACCGTAATATAAAACTTCTAGAGTTCCTAAATTGTTTCTAATCTGTGTTTAATATAGGTGTTCATTTAAGACAATACGATTATCTGTCGGGCAATTAAATTCCGATACACGATTCGAACGTGGTGACTGAGGTTATTATTTTCACCGAATGTGACCTTACAGTGCGTAGCGAGAGTTCCGATGACCACAATATGGGCATATTATATCAATTCGATTGACTAATTTAAATATATAACATACGGTTTGTCTCATTATACCCGGTATCCTCTTCGTTTTCTCTATGGTACGAATCGCGTGTCTACTCTTTCACTCTTTACAGTGAAATATCGGCACACGTCGTATGGCGATTGAGTTTTCTAGATGTACACAACATTTGGAAATAACGTATTCCTGGATGGTTATATATACGTACATTCCTTAAACTTAAATCTTTCTGCGTACTAATTCCCATGTTATATATATACGTTTGCTTGTCTCGTGTACCGTTGTATTTTATCTTAGCTTGTACGAATGTATTGTATGAGCTAAAGTACACTGATTTAATTATGATATCTGTGTACTTGATAGATCATATAGGACTGTGTAGTTACCGTCGAGAAACTATATGTTTGATACTTGTAGCGACATTTTTGTATCTTCATTATCTTGTTTAGTTATTAACAACAATCGATAAAGTATTTCGAAAGCAGGCCATTTGGTAGGATACTGTATACTGTCTGCACTACCTATAGCGTGTTGTGTTCCTCCATGTGTGTACGGACATTTAAAGGGTCAACAGACTGTGGAGTCACTTTTAGTTACGTGCTATTTCTAAGATACGTTTGTACACTTTCCGATCATGTTGCCTCCTAAGGCAGTTGTCCCTGAATATGGCATTGGTTATTTCCGTATAACGTTAGAATCATTAAGCGTAGTCACGTGACCACCTGTATGAAATAAAATTGAAATTTCATTTATTTTTACGACGCTATTCGAGTTTATCTCGATAATAAATTATTGAAACACGTACTCTGTGGCACAGATATAAATTTAAATATGTCGGTAAATAAAATATGTTAATCGAAATGTAATTTGCCATTTGTACGCTATATTATTGATTGATAAACAAAAATAATACGAAAGTATATTTTATCTATCAACTAGTTCTATCGTTAGAATGTAGTATTTCACTTTTTCTATATAATTTGTAATATTAATTAGTATCTAAAAGTGAAAAATACTTTTTAATTTATTTTAATCAAAATTCTAAGTGAACATTTCTGCAAGGTCACTTTTATATTGGATAACGTAGACTTGTACGTTTCCTTGAATTCACTGATGGATGAGTTTATTATCAGTACTATAGGATACAATGTAAACACAAAGTGTCTAATCTATAACGATACGAAATGTTGTTAACAGGTCTTCGATTAAATCGGAGGTTAAGGGTAGCCACAGATTAATCAACACATATGCAACGAATTTAATTTTATTTATGACATTTTATCCGTATCTTGACATTTTATACATTTATAATATAAAGTGATAAATAACGGAACGTAAATATTCCACAACATTCTAAATATCACATCTCGATGTAGCAGTTAACACTTACTTAATAGTACTTCAATTTTGGTCCGTTATCGACTGCAATTCCTTTTACGTCACGTCGTAATGATACAACAATTTTGCAACAGAGTGCATGTACTACTCGATCGATTCTCGATCTGTAACGTGGTGCGTCCCTAAATTGAAATTTTATCCGAAATATCTGAACGTTACTCTGTAACTGTTCGAACGATTGATTCGCACATTTCCCACAGAGGGTGCTGGAAGGAAAGTTTCGTACGAAAACGTGTTTCACGCGAACAGCAGGATCTCTTTTGTATCCCTTTTTGTTGCACGTTTCATCGTTCTTCTCGCGGGTTCCTCTTCCTCTTTTCGTTCTCCTTCCTCGCAATACTCGTTACTCGTTACCCATGCTCGGTTACTTCATCGTTCTCTCTGCGCGTGCAGGTTGGACATTCCAAGAGCACGTTGAACCGTCGCGGTCACCTCTGTCTCTCGCATTTCTATACTGTCCCCAGTGTGTAACTATCTTGCCGGATAAAATCTGTCCACTCGTGGACGGGTGTCTCCCTCTCTGTCCACTGATAAAACTAATGCGCGAAATTTTAAGTGGCGCTTACAAACAGCACGTCCATCTCGATTCGTAATTACGACGCGCGCTCCTCCTTAGTCATCGATGTGATAGTCACGATTGCATGCATTATTTTAAGATGAAAGCACCTTACAAACACGGCTCGGTTGTATCGTGGAGAAATGACAAAGAGGACCTAGATACAACATCCGCGATCCAGATATCCTCGCAACCGGGTGTTCGAGATAATATCTGTCTTCGAAATTAATAACTCGAATCAATCAGAACTGATTTTAAAGGCATTAAGCAAGCATGTCGAATAGACTAGTAACGTCTAGTGTGTATCATAAGCCGGATCTTCACGGAACCAGCAAAGAGCAACTTTTTATTGCTGTTCCATGTTTCTTGAAGAAGTGGCCGATGTGAACAAAATGTTTCCAACTGTTTCTGCTGTTCGTTGGAAATGTTTCGAAGCATGCAATTAATAAGACGCACAAAAGGTTGCTCATTGGTGAAGCGTCGAATACCTGGCTAATACTGTGTTCAATGTTTTTGACCATCGGCGAGCCCCTAGAGGGGAGAGAGGGGGGGGCAAACGGTTATTCGTATACGTCTCTTAGGGTTCGTTCGGCAGTCGTGTGTTTGGTGAATTGTCGAAACGATCGATACACGCTTTAGTGTGGTTTGTGGATTCTCTAAGAATTTTGTCTCGGAAGTTAAATTGTGGCGCGTAACCCAGTTCGCGACAGAGAGTCGATCCGATCTCCGTTACCGGTTTGATTTTAATTTAATTTTTCTTTTTTTCCCCCGTTCGGTTTGTCCAGTATGTATCCCTCCTCTCTCTTTCGGGCAGCACGAATAACAGCTCGAGTCGTTTTCTTGCTTCATCTTGGCCAATCTCTCCTCTCTTACTTCTTGTACGCTCTGTGTGTCGAAAGAGATTAAGCAGCCTTTGAAGTTGTCTTCCTGATGAAAATGCTCGATGATAATTCGCGAACCGTTTCTTTCGTTCGTTCGTGTTATTCGGCGTCCGTTATCGTTAAAGACGGTGCGGCTGTTTTACTCTCGACGGTTGGATCGCAGGGAAACATTGAATTTCTTACAAAACTGTTGGTATACGTGGATGAATCGTAGTTCTCGTAACGTATCGCAGGGATTTTGATAGTGTTTAACGCTCAATGAAAACTCGTGTATTTTTAACGGGCATTTGAAAATGCCAGTAGATAGGCAAACCTTTCGGTTTCTGTGGCCAATAATAAATTTGGAAATTTATTAAGAGATACTGCTACATTTGCTTGGCGGCTACATACATATTTCTAGTAATACATCAGTCAGACGTTGCCAAGAAACTAGTAATAAATTCTATAATGAAGTGAATATATATGTAGGCGGTGTTTTGCCCATTTTCTAGTTTGATGCTTAAAAAGGTTACTATCGATTATATGCCTCTAAAACAACTTTCGATTAGATGAAAGATCGGTATCGTAAAAAAGTTCGAGATAGCGCACGACCGATTTAGATGGTATCAGCTATGCCATTAAAAAATTGTGCCAAGGAGAAAATACATGTACATATATATAACGCGTGAATAACAATAATAGAGTTTGACAGTTTGCTATACGTAATAGAAAAATTAAAAAATTGTATTATCACTTTATTATGAACTATACTATACCATAGTTATAATGTAATTGTGAATTACAATATCGATACTCGTACTAACTCTATGTTGCGCTGGTGTTATACCAGAGTGCAACGATACTATTATAATACATATAGTGATGGTATAGCGATAGCACAATAAAATATTAAAATCTATTACCACGTTTTGTTAACTGACTACTATACAGGGTGGTTGGCAACTGGTGGTACAAGCGGAAAGGGGGTTATTCTATGCGAAAAAAGAAGTCGAAAATATAGAATAAAAATTAAAAAAAAATTTTTCTTTTATTTTTTTTTTTAATTTTTCCATCGAGACAACGATCTACAGTGAGATCCGTTATAACGTGCATATCCGTGATAAAGTGCAGACGTACCGAGCCAAAATTCAAAGTCGATTTTCTCGAAAACAAAGCCTCGAACGAAAAATTGTTATTCTATATTTTCCACTTCTTTTTTCGCGTAGAATCACTCCCTTTCCGCTTGTACCACCAGTTACCAACCGCCCTGTATAATTATCATACTGTAACTATGCCACTATGATGATAACGTGCTATTATAAGCGCCTGGTATATATAAAAATAAAATTGTCATTACTGTGTTATAAATACCGCTATAGTTATACAATAATTACTATATGAATTATAGTTACGCACCGTGCTATTTATTACTATAGCTGTCATTTACGAAATGTTATAAAAACCAAATTAAAATTATATGGTAATGTCATATCATAGTTACAATTAACAGATTTATGGTTAATATCGCCATATGAATCATAATCGCGCGCCGCGTTATTAATCACGCTATAATTACATTCATTTTCGACATTTTATAAATACTATACTTTCTATAGTTGCCATTAATAGAATTGTGGTATAGTTATCAGTTTCCAAAAATGTCTTCGCACAATGGTGCAATATTCAAGCTTAGTCGAGGTCAAAAATCTAATATGCCATCGAATATGCTACACTTGTAGATGCGCCATGTTCAATTTTTCTTCGCGCCTTACGTTGGAATTTGAAACGCAGGAATGAGCGTAGATCGTATTCCTTCAGCAGTATACATTTTCGATCGTTACACGAATCAATGCTAGCGAAATGTTTGTGTGACGTAAGAAACAGACGCATTATCTATCATATGTGTCGCGTAATCGTTTCTCCACATTTCTAATTTTCACTGTTCCAAATTTCCTCATTTCAAAAAATTTTAATTAAAAAAGTGAAAATGTTTAGTCACGTGTATTTTTATTAAGTAAAAGGAACACGAGTTTCTTCCATTTCACAAGTTTTAGCTTCGTTTATCGTATTTTTAAATCGAGAAACCTTTTTCGATTGAGAAATACGTCTTTTTTTACGATGGATATGTTAAATATGGATATGTCTGAATATGTTAAAAGTCACCGATTTGCACTTGTGGAAACTACATTCGCCCGATACTCTGATCTTATGCTAGCTCTTATGATAGAAACTTGTGATTTTACGCGACGTTGCGCAATTCCTTCGTTTCATCGTCAATTTTAATCCTTTTACTTTCGGCGAAGATTCCGCGATAAACAGGATAGGATAACTCTCTGAATCATATTGCACAAAAGCGTGGACGCGCCGCTCTATAACTGCGACGCGTATATTACGCTATTTCTACGGTGCAAAATTCGGGAAATTATAATCTTTCACAGTGCCAAATTATTAGGCGAATCGTTATCATCGGAAGATACAAATTGTCCATAATAACAGATAATATATTTCGAAAACTTTGACATGTGCTGCCCGATAAACAGTTTAATAGCAAGTAACATTTCCATCTGCGAATAAGTAGTGTAAATTGGCGGTGCTACTCTTCGAAATAAGTTACTCCTGTAATTCAAACCGCTTCCGTAACTATTCACTCACGAACAAACCATTTTCTAAAATTAAATTCTGCTCTTCTATATTCGATACTTCTAAGCCAACCTAAATATTACAATCACGATTTCACTGCTACAATTTCACTCGATTTGACGTTATAAAAAATTGAAAGAAAGGAAAAATAGAAAGGAAAAGAATTCGTGAACATTATCAGTACCGTCATCGTGTGAACGCCCCTTAACGTAATCGCGTCTGCGCATTTGCTAGCGGTTCCAGTTGAACTGGCCTCTTCAGAGGCAACCACGTGCTGAAAGCCGTGATCGTTCCACAAACCGCAGTACCGCGTTGAACGTGTTAGCAATAGTGTCTTCGAATCGCTTGTTAATTTCAGGTCGCCTATCGGAACTCTTGATTTTCACTGGTTCGTTCATTTTGACGGTCTGTATACCTGTGTGTCCGTTTTGCCGGTCTGTATACCTGCGCGTCCATTTTCCAAGCGAGTAAACGGCTTTATGAAAGTGTCGAACGATCACAGATGGAAATAAGAATGGACGTAATATCGGTGAGTCGTAAATCTGACCTTCGTCGTTAGAGGACTGCACGTCTGGTGCCTTGGAGTTCCATGGAATTATACCGAATTCGTGTTTCATACATCGCCAAAAGTCGAAGAAATTTATTCTAATCAGATTCAATAAAAGTAAAATATTTACTTGTGAGATTATATCTGAAGTTACTTTATATCGTATGATTTTTTCAAAATATGAAGAAACAATGAAAATTGCATGTTCTAATTGTTTCATATAAGAGAATATGGTAAAAGTGGGAGAAATAGATTACCATCACATATGTCTACAATTTACGTTCGATCTAATCCATTCATCGTATTGTTGTCTTTGAGAAATTGAAAATTCTTTGTGTTAGATTCCCTATCTTAATTCCATTTAATTTTATTAAATTGCGAAAATGACACGGATGCTTTCTCTGAACTTCAGGTATCACAGATGGGAACTACAAGCCTGCATCAAGCGAGGGTGAATGCACTATACAGAGTGTCTCAAAGTACGTGATACGGTTCGAGCAAAATTGAAGCTTCTTAAAGAAAAATATTATGAATATAATATGTAATGAGAATATGTTATGAGATTTGACGTACATTTTCAATATGTACGGTGTTTTTCGTTTTTTTTTTCTTTTTTTGAAACATTCTGTATAATTTTTGTTTGTGTTATGTATTTTGAAGTGTGCGGTACATAGCGAGTTTATAGTATGAAATTAGGATGTTCTGTACGTTCCATATATAAACCACCTGTTTCGATACAATCGTATAGCGTGTCATATTTTGGAACATTCTATACATTTTAAATGCTGAGTCAACCCGACTTTTTATTTGATGAAAATTACACGAGGCGATGAAAATTTTGATTGATAAAATATTCAATGAATGAACTCGCATATCGGTTTTTTATTTACTAACAGCCTCGGAAATTATAATTTAAATTCACTTCACACTTAAATTCTATTCGAAACTTTCTTTCGAATAAAAAGGAATTAAACTTTCGTTTGTATTTTATATCCTCATTGTAGTTACAATTCTGATTAAAAACTTGTCTTATTGTATATTACTTTTACTAATTTTTTGATTTTCAAAGGGATGTTAATAGATAAGCATGTAGCATATTTGTGCGTATATATGTTAATTAATTTATTGAATGAACTTCTTATATGTTTTTGCCTGTATTTAAATTATAATTGATGTTGTGCCTTATGTATAATTAAATGGTGATTTAAGATTCGATATTAATCCTCGTATTATCTTAAAAGTGTACAAGAACGAGTAGATTTCGAGAGTATTTAATCTTGGTCTTATTGGATATGACAATGAATTTTTTATATTTGAAGAACAAGTCGTTTGTTTGTATACAGTGTCTGTACTTTGTCTTAATTAAGCTATTCGAACGAATACAGTTGTGACCGGAAGTTACGCTTGTGAAACGGTAATTAACAAAGGAAACCGAGTAAGACGAGAGTCTGAATAAGAATTGAATTTCATCGACTTTGCGCGCTCGCTGTAATGTGGCGGTTTTATCGTAATTTAAAAATATAACGAGCTAAAAAACGTGATGCTAACAACGTATCGCGTGTTAAATTAAAATTTATCAAACTGATTACAATATTTTAGATGATTGTATAATTTGTTGCGTAGTAATAATTTGTCACTCTAATCTATCGTTCATAATCATTATGTTTAATTTACAATTTTTAGATTTTTTATTAGTACACGTTTTAATTATGCATTATATTTATTTTCAGTGTAAAAAGGTCCTTAACATCAACAGCTACAGTGGATTGGAAAAATGTTTGCTACTCATACTCAAATGGTAAAGTGGACTCTCCCTGCTTTTGCCCTTATAATTGGTATATTGTGGTACAAACGGCGTCAAGCAGACAGAGCTGATCCAGGTGGAATAAATAAAAACTGTCGTAACAAAGAGAATAGTACTGATCAGGAGATTGCTTCATCAGATTCTAATTCAAGTCTTCATGATTCTGGCATACAAAATAATGAATCCTGCTCATTGAGTCCTCCTAATCAACAGGTAGAAGACATACGGGTAGAAGAGATTGTTTCTATCCCTAGAAAAACAAGCGAAAATTTAGATATTCCGCAGAAAAGGTCTGGCTCGCCGTGTATTTCTGCGCATTCTAGAACTCCTCCTAATGATGACGGTGAAGCATGGTACAGTTTCGTAGATACCTCGTCGAAAATGGAAATACAATTAGGTAGTAACCCAATAATAAGCAATTTCGATATGGTTGCAAAGAGTAGAGGTGCTTCCTCCTTGGAAGAAGCCACTGATTCTGATGATAAAGTATTAAAGATATTTGAAAATATCGTCGAGGAAGAAGAACAAAAGTTAGCGCCTGAGAATAAATCGATAGTAGTTGTCAATCAAAACGAAGAGAATAATACAAACAATGAATGTAATTATCTACCAAGCGAAGTACCATCTGTTTCCACGCCACTGAAAGATAATGTTAAAACACCAGCTCGAACATTATCCGAAAGAGATTCTGCTAACCATAGTCCAGTTTCTGGTGTCTTAGAAGGCAGTGTCACAGATGAAGCAAGAAGTGAGGGAAGTACAGATAGTGGAAAAGGTAAACATTGGATGAGTATTAAATGATCTATATTTAAGGATGTTATATCGTTGATACAATGTCATACTTATTGTAGGTGGAAGTATCAAGGGTCATACAAAAGACACTGTAATGCCAATGATATATGAATTTAGTATACCACAATCTTTAGTTGGACGACTAATTGGTCGGCATGGAAGTTTCTTGCAAAATATTCGACATAAAGCGGAAGTAAACATAGTCCTCAAACGTCATCCTATATCGAGAGATCAAAAACTTTGTGCCATAGAAGGTTCTACAGAAGGAATAAACGTTGCTCTAGAAATGATACGACAAAAGTTCCCAGAAAAAAAATTTCCACAGTTGACACTTCATCAGATTTCACCATTAATAGTACCTGAAGATATTCCTTGGTTTGCTGAATTAAGACAGTTATCATTAGTGGAGGGAGTCAATAATGATGTTGTTATATGTCACATAGTGAAACCAAACAGATTATTTGTACAGCTTCCTACTCATCCTACCTATCCATCCCTACGGATTTTAGACGAAAGGATGACACAGTTATATAACACGACGGAGTCGCCATCAGCTCCAGATGAACTTACTAGTACGTTTATATCGTATTTCTATGATTGTTTTTTCTTTCCATTTAGCTGTAATAAAAGTTCTCAAATATTCTTTCTTTATTCGATTTATAGATGGTATGATCTTAGTTGCAAAATGGTATAATACGTGGGTCAGAGTATACGTCGAACAGCCAGATCCTCATGGCGAACAGCATTTAGTACGACTTGTTGATCACGGTGGTTATTGGGTGTTTAGTAGTTCAGAAATGAGGAAAATTAGGTCAGATTATCTTACGTTACCGTTTCAAGCAATTGAAATATTCCTGGCAAATGTACAACCAAAAGATGGTACGCACATTCCTGCATTTCCGTGTGCAATTTTTCATATACATATATAAATTGTTAATTATGTACAGGTGAATGGAATCAAGAAGCTTATAATACAGTTGCTCAGATGTGTACAGGAATTGTTGGTCAAGCTCAAATAGAAGGTTATATCAATACAAACACATATATTAGTCTCTATCTTAATATTCAGAAACATGGGGTAAGCAAACGCTAGTTTTGTAACAAAATTTTTAAGGTTTTTTTATTGATTAAAAATATAAATATTTGTATGAGTTTGTTATAACATAACTAATTATTTTTTTCGAATTAATGAGTTTGTTGAATTTGTTATGTATCGCAGGTGATATCCCTCGCCGATGAATTAATAGCTCGTGGATTCGCGGAATCCATACCATTAGAAAATATAATTCCAGAAGAAGGTATATTAATCTCTTAAGGTATGAATTAGAAATTTAGGCTATAATAACTATACTTGTAAAGAAACCATGATAATATGTGATCACGTAATTTTTTTAGTCATTATTTGCGTATATGATTCATTTTCATTCTCATACTTCATACATTAAGAAAAAATACCAAGGAAATGATACTTCCTAACATTGATTTGAATGTTTTTATTAACACCAGCAGTTTTCTACATCCTGTTCGATATGCCATCTATTAAATCTATTGAATCATATTTATTGAACCTAGATTGAATTACATGACATATTGCATATACATTCTCTTGTTAATACATTACGTATCAATGAACATATGTAAGGATAAACAATATTTAACGAGCATTTATAAATACTCCTCATGTATGATTTATAACAAGTACAAATGTAAACTATTGTGTTTAGAGTGTGGCATTTTTACGTGCATGGTTAATAAGATTTTTTAATAGTATTTATCATGTTACTGGACGGAAAAAGAATTTAGATCAACTTAAACAGACAATAGATAATTAAACAAAAGAAAACGCTCCTCCCTGTACTTATATGCTGTCAAGAGGTACAATAGATTTATTAAATGCCAAATGTACGATATATAATACATATTTATAAAACGCCACATTCTAGCGGCTGAATTCGAGTAATAAGAAATTAGAAAGAAAAGGGACATTTATTGTACATTTAATACGATATTCAAATGATTTATAACATAGGAACAGTTATTTTACGGTATGATAGTGTAATATACGTTTCTGTAAAGTACAGTGAATGAAAACTACAGATTTTCACGAATTACAAAAGCCACGTGGTATGGTCCATAATACTTTTACTTCTAAAAACTTGTGGAACTAATTTGTCCTTCTATTAGTTTTTTTTTTTTTTTTAATGAAAGTAATAATACAAATCCAAATTGTTACATTAAGTTCGGATTTCAAATAAACACAAAATGCAAGGGAAAATATTTCGGATTATTAAGTTCTCTATCTCTAAGCAGACTTCAATCATATGTTTGTAAATAATGTAACATTACTACTACGTTTATAAAATATTTATATAATACATCTTATAATGGTTATATAATAGAAAATGAAAAAACAATGTTACATGTTAGCTGTACGTAATGATAAATATGACAAGATATACAGAGGTAGCAGAAATTTATATATTTTATACTTATCAAACACTAATAGAGAAAAGTGATTGCATTATAACTACACCGGACGAATCGGGAAATTCGCGTCTCTGTGTGACTTGTATTACTTACTACAGGTCAAATTTGTTTATTCTAACGTAATTTTTAAATGTAAATTAAACTATATAGGAAACCTATTTTGTCTAAATCGTGTGAGATCGTTGTATGAATACTCTATTCTTTCTCTTTTTCTTTGTTTTTTCTTATACTATATTTAATACAAAAGAAACGATCACGGTGATATCGTTAAATAATTTGGATTACTCATTAAATGAAAACTTCATTATCGATATTTTCTATATATTTAACGTTGTAATTTATCGTATAATCTATATTACGTTGAACAGATATTAACAAACGTTTAAACAAATATCTTTTTCACATAGGAAACATTTTCTACGAAGTTTTTTTCATAATACTAATTTCTTCCTATGTAATTTTTGCTTTCGGTTATCGCGGCAGGTATAAGCTGTTACCTTCTTATTTCCTAAGCATCCCGCTTAATATTTATTTACTTAAACGTTTATCACATTTCAATTATGTACTGCTATCGAGCAGATTACGAAGAGACTGGTAGTCTTTTCTATAGATTGTACGGTATATTGTTTATATTTAATCATAGAATGTGTTCTGCGGTTTACTTTCGAGTGTTTTCACCAACCGCAGCCATATTTGTTATGCGTAGAAATAAAATACCATTAAGCGTGATGAAAATTGAGAAAAAGTAGCAAAAAAATGTGATGTTTGCTGCAGAGAAACAGTTTTATACTGTTACATGTTAATATTTACAGTTTATTGATACGTAAACGCTATAGAGATATTTGTATAGGGATATACATAGGATACAGTTATTAAGCCGCTTATTAAACTGTATGTGCTTCAATGTATCACCATCGTGAAAGCAGAGAATTTTTTTAATTCGTTGAAATCTTCTTACGTCAGGGTTACAATTCTAATCGTATGTATGCAACGAAACAATTATACAAATATATTATTTTATTATTTGGTACGTCTTCCAATCAGAAGAAGTACAGATAATAAGATTTTGTTACATTAGCTTCTTAAATTCTAAGTAGGATATTTTTTACGTTGCGTACATGTATATAGCATACACGATCAACAAAAGCACCCAATTACTCGTGTTTCTTACGATTTCATTTATCATTATCGATTAAATTAAACTCATTTTGTATATATCTCAATGTAATCTTCGGCGTTCTCATTAAATTTGCATCATTTTAATTGTACTATCTTTATTCTTCCTGCGAAACTGCTATATTTTTTACAATAAATATTTACGGCAACAAATATGTTCAATTTTATAAGTGTTTAAGTTTCTATCCCCCTTGAAAAGTGAATGTCTATTGATGTTATCCTGTCTATTCTATATAAAAATTTTACCTGCTTATCTCATCTCGATACTTTGACATTAAACTTCTTAAAAGATTTATAATTTATGTTTGAGTCGGCAAGGTTACCGTTAAGATTTCTTTGTTACAAACTCCTGTGTTACCAATTACCGACAGTTGGCCATCGGGTCTCCGATTAACTGCTATTCATGTGCATTTACAGCAACATAGGCCTCACAAGCAACGGTTTTTTCCCATTGTATACGTATACCTAGCCGTAACAGTCCTCGGTAACCATGAACTAACGAAATCGTGGAAATTCTCCAAGGTTGCCAAAACGATGTCCATTAAATATTGCTTGTGCCCGATTCTTATCCCTCCGTGAAATTGGCTGTAAAAGGGAGAAGTCAAAAGCCATTTTTCCCGGCTTTTCGCCGTTAGAACCTATAGAACATTCAAAGCAATCAGAATAACACGAACGGTTGAACTTTGTTAATTTAGAATCATCCATATATCGAATAGTTAGAACACTCGCGCAAAATAGTTTATACAGAATAGTTACGCGCAACATTAGGCACGATTACTGAGCAGCTCCCAGTATTCCGTAAATAGTTCTATTTAAATAGTCAACCACATACAATGTTTTCCTTTTGCTCGAACGAGGGTGGTCCTTCGAACTAATTAGTTCTTCGTCGGTACACGCGTGCAAGCGCCAACAAAGCTGCAGCGATTTAGATCGCAAGCAGCAATCATAACAATGTTTTTATTTATATTCTTATTTATAATTTTATTTACATATATTATATAGTCACTCTGTTGTTTGTTAAACCTTTCGTTCCCTATACAAAGTATGTATTTATTTTAATAGAATTCATTTATCTCCTTTTTTATAGAACCCTTTACAGAAGTAACTTATTCTACATCGAAACTGAAATTTGTGGCTTCTCGGAAAATTTGTATCCGATTTTGCAATTTTGTACCAAGAAAACATAATAATATAGAAGATGGAACAATTTCGATAATTCTTGCAACTTGACGTCATACTTCAAGAATTTTTTCAAGTTGAAACTTTCGGATTTTCGAAGAAATTTTTCGTCAAAATCTTCCATTTTATACTAGGAGAATATAATCTTGCAGAAGGTAGTATTATCTGGATAATTATTGGAATTTGATATCATTTCTCGAGACTTCCGAAAGCTATTTTGTGTTCCTTTTTATACGATTCCTCTTTCTTCCTGATTGTTACTTCTGTCCCCAAAGTAGCTTTGCCGTAATCGATGTAAAAAAAGCAATTTATTTCTAATACTTAAATAAACCATTAAGCAATTTTTGGTCTTTCGTTAAGAATATTATCAATACTAATGAGATTAAAAATTTAAAGGAATATGGTAACTAAAAAGTCTTATTTAGGAAAAACTTTCTCATTAATTGTTATATTATTTTGTATTATTTATTATATTTGGTTCTAGCTGAAGAGAATGATTTAAATAACGGATCATTTATTCAGTTGACTAAATATGAAACGAAAAAATAGCTGATTGAAATATAGAAGAAAATAAAGATACGTAAGAAGCTTTACTCAAAATCAGCACTGAATTGTACTCTTACTTCCCATCTTATCTTAAGAAGGTATTCTAATCATAAATCTTTTCCAAGAATATGCGCAAATGTTTCTCTGACTGTACCGATGGCTAGTGATAGCAGAGAATATGCACAGTCCTACAGTTGGTACCAGCGTGATGAAGGAAATTGAGAAATTACGATTTTACATATATTACGGTTGAGTTTCAGCTTTCGCATTGATCAGTAATTTGATATATCAACCCTAATTATTAAGTCAGTTGAAGAAAAGCTAGTATTACTTGGTATTGCGTACTATTTAGGCTGTGATCTCAATTATGGTTTCATCAACAACTGACAAGAATCAACGATCACACGTATTAGTACCGGTACTTCTTAGTGCATGTGTAATTCCAATTTCTATGGTGTTTTGGGTTATAAACGTAGCATATTCGACTTTTTATTCAGATTCTGGAAATCACTTTAAACGTATGTTAAATAATTAGTCGCAGTATGACGACTTTTTGTTTTACATTGTACCGTTCCGATTGTTTTGAAAAATATAACCTTCTTTTTTAGAGAATCTAGTCCTATCACCATGGAGATGGTTAACCGTAGTTGTGTTTCCAATTTTTATGGCCTTTTGGGGGTTAAGAAGAAAGAGTGTGGATATTAGCGGCGCTATTCTTGGTAATAAACTTTATCTCGAATTTTACAATATGTAAGAAATATACTTTATAGACAGAATAAAGTATTTTTTATTTAAGTTATTTGATATTGTTACTGTTTATATAATATGATTGGTTAAATGTGTCTTTCATTATTAAAATATAATTAAAATATTGAGAATATATAATGTAAAATGCAAACAATTGAAATAACTATGAATAAAGTATATGGTGTTTATATTATGGTAACTTATATTTAATAAGTTTCTACTTGCATTGTAACTAGCTATGGAATATTGTATTGCAGGATTATTTATGGGTTTTGTTCTGACACTTACCAGTTTTTGTCATGTGGCTTGTCTCTTTGCATTCCTTGTTTCTTCTACTAAGGCAACTAAGTTTTGTGCCAAAGAGAAGAAAAAGTTTGAATCTGACTTTAAGGAAGGAGGGCAAAGAAATTGGATTCAAGTGCTATGTAATGGCGGTATGGCAACGCAGTTAGGTCTCTTATACTTATTGGATGTAGGAAATGCAGAGCACCCAATTGATTTTGACAAATATTACAGAAGTTCCTGGTTGTCGGTAGGAATCTTAGGTACATTCATCAATAATGTATGTTATGTCCAAAGTAAATAATTTTAGAATTTAGAAACTTAATTTCAAAAATGTATTCGTTGCTGTTAATTATTATAATTTATTAGGAGCTTTTGCTTGCTGTAACGGAGATACTTGGGCTTCAGAAATTGGGACAGTTGTGGGTACTAAGGATCCTTTTCTTATTACCACACTAAAAAGAGTTCCACGAGGTAAGAATATTGAAACCTAACAGTTCTATATTTATATAAGAAAAAAATATAATGGACAAGTAGCCAAAGATAAGGAACTAAATATGGAAATACTAGTCTTTATTAATGATGTCATTATCTAAATATGTCTTTAAACGATTGTTATGTCAAGTTTAAAGTCTTACATTTCATTGGTAATCTATTTGTAGGGACAAATGGTGGTATTTCCTGGGTAGGCTTGCTCGTTTCTATACTAGGTGGTATAACTGTGGGTTTATCTTATTATTTAACAGTATTGATAACTGTAGACACAGTTATACTGCAATTAGCAGTGCCACAGTGGCCAATTATTATTATTGGAGGAATCGGAGGTCTCTTTGGTAGTGTAATAGACTCATTTTTAGGAGCTATGTTGCAGTATTCTGGTAAGATATCTATTTTATATTGTTATTTAGAATACAAATGTAACTTACAATCAAATTGATAATTTGTATTTTTAACCATAGGAATAAATGAGAAAGGGAAAATAGTAGAACGTCCTGGAAAGCATGTGAAACACATATCTGGTAGACAAATTTTGGATAATCACAGTATAAATCTTTTATCTAGTGTTATCACTGCACTTACACTACCAGAAATTGCAAAATTAATTTTAAGTATTTAAGGAAATATAAGTATAATTATAATGTCATTAGGTGTATATATATTTGTTTGCATGTCCAACTATATATACATGAAAGAAGTATATTTATGGCGAATATTTTCTACATCTCTATTTTGTATAAAAATCGCGTGACGAAATTTGATATGATGACTTATAATTTATATCTATAAAAAGCAAATATGTAAAAGTTGTATCCTTTGGAAGTAGACTTGAAATCAAAAATGTATTAAAAAAATATGAAATTATGTTATATAAAGTTATATAACCTAATTTTGATTGTAATTTGAATCTTAATAAAAACTTATTAAGAAAAATAGCACAATTTTTTGTTAATAAAATCATATATGTATACGTTTTATATATACATTGTCTAACGTTACTTCCTACGTGGTATTTAATGTAAAAATTAAGAACTGTTTTGTTCGTTAACATAGAATGAAAATGTTTGCCTTTCAAATTTGAAAGTGATAAGCAATCTAACAGAAAAGAGTTTGGGAACTTGAATTATATCAATATGTTTCAAATTCAGTATACATTAATCTTTTACAAACACATTTATCTCAAAATTTTGAATGTTCAATTAATTATAAAGTTTTAGTTAATACAATCATCGATTCTTGTACCAGATTATTTTACCAATCTTTTCAAGAAAATAAGAAGCTTCTTCAGTAAATCCTAATTCTACAATAAAATATATATATGTATATATATGTCGGAGATGAGAGGACACCGGGGCCTCCCCTCCGAAACTTCGGGAAAATCCATCAAAATTGTAATTAAACAGTTTGCCGTTATTCTGCCCAGTTGTATTTGTTTGAGATTTATGACAGTGAGCTTGGGCTCGAGGCGACAATCAGTTGCCGAACGTAGCCGCGGTCAACGGGACGAACGCTCCGTCTAACAAAAGTATGGAGTAATAACATAGCCCCCATTAAAAGAAATACCCGTAGAGGTACTCGACAGTAAAAAAAGATTTCAACGGTTCCCTCGGGCAAAATGATTACTAGATGTCGATGCATCTGCACAGCATAAGTTCAGCTAGCCTGAGGACCCGCTATAAACCTTAGGATTTTGTTAACTAAGGTTCTTCGAACGGACAAGCAGTCTTTGTCGCAAATTGACCAATTAACAGCAGCGTCGATTTCCCCTCACTTTTCAAGTGAAGACATCTCTCCATGAATCCGAGAATTTCGTGCTCTTAGACACACCCCATCATAGTTTTCCTCGACAGCGTCACCGTGACGGAAAGTCACTTTTTCACCGGTACGCGCTGTTGTACGAGTTAACTAACGTTACAACTTAGACTTGGACGAAGAAACAAGCCTACTAACCCGTTGACCGCGGATGCGTTATCGAGTCTCAGACCAGAGTCACAAGTGTCCACATTTGTACCAATAAACATTAGCTACACCCGCGATGGTAAAGTAAGTAAAGGTTCATTGAACGCCCCCAAAATTCCAACCTGACTCCGACATATATGTGCAAGTACAAGCATAATATTTTTTCCTTTTTCTTCTTTTTAACGCTTTCTCAAGGCGTGAATACGAAAAAATACTCCAAAGAATATCTCCTTGTAAATAAAAGTCACGCTTACAATCCCTATGAATTAAGAAAACAAAATATCCAAACAAGCGATCTATTATATTCTCCTATCTTAAATTAATTCGAGATCAAAAAATAATGTATACTCTTTTCAATAATATCACTCATTCATTAGAACTTATACAGAACTGGTCTTTACAACTCTAATTATCAAATTGCAGTGGCTACAAAAAACCAGTTTCATACCGTTGTATTTATTATAACATTTACATACTAATTAATTCGATCCAAGTATACTAAATTTCGTACAATTTAATTTTTATACAACTAAAAAATTTGATATTGCGAAAGTAAAACGTATAGAATCCGACAAAAAGTTTCATTGGAAAATAAGGATACGTGTCAATACTTTTTGTAGCCATTGTATATATAACTTCTTCGCTAATTCTCAACATTCTCATTTCAGAATAAAACGACGTTCATCACTTGCAACAATCTTCATAAAAAAAATCATCATTTACTACATCCACTCTTAAAAGGACCCCTTCTTCATGTTCGCTATATTATTGACGCGATCTTTAAGCTCCTTAATCTTCTGGCCATAGAATAAAACTCTCTTTGATGTTCGCTCGATGACGTTCTTTCGCCAGCTTCAGTGGTTTCAGTCTCTCATTGATCAGCCGTCGAAATTATCAACACTGCGTCTGATCGTAGTCGGACAACTCGCTGGACTTAATGAGCATCCTGGCGTGATTGTTGTGACTATTGGGGACGGGAGTAGCGGCGACCAGTTGAACAATCTGCTGACGGTCGTCCACGGCTCGTTTTTCGTCCGGAACTTCCAGCACGGACGACCGATAGTCACACCTTCTCCTCTCCCGGCATCGGACCTGCGGTCGAGCGGATAAACTGAAACAGTCAACGTCCCACAATGGTCTTGACACGGGCACGTCGTCACTGGCACGACACGGACAACTCTCTCCCTCGCTCTCCCTTTCGTTCACGCCACTCTCTGTTTGTTAGTTAGCTGTTGCTCGTGCCATTCTAGGGCCTATGTACAGCGGCAGGCTGGACGATGTTAGTTTTAGGATTTTCACCGTTTATTGCGGACTTGATCGCGGTCCGCATCGCACCATTGACTAGTCGTGCAATCCGATATTTTTCTGCTTTTTACTTTTAAGTTTCTTTTTGGTATTTGACTTTTTTTGCTTTGGCTATTGTGCTCGTTGAAGCGTGACCGTGACTTTTGGCGGGACAGCGGGGCGTATTTTAATAGACTGACAACGATTGTTCTAGTTCGTACGTGCCGAGAAAGTGATAAATACAGAGAGATGAAGTTTAGATTTCAAATGAAATTAGAGGATCTATTGGTTCGTTAGGTGGTACATGTTGTTTAATTTTGACGTTGACGAGGAATTGGGAGTTGGTTCTCGGTATGAAGGGGATGAAAAATGAAGCGTGAGTCTGACCTTATTAAATTATATGATCACAGTGAATTTCGGTTATTGCATTGCTGTAGAGATCAATATTTTCCTGCAGAGTCATGCGACCATTCTTAATAAATATCTTGCTCGCATCTTGACCTCCATATCTCTCGAGCAAGGATGAATCTCGAAAATTTATGAAGGACATCCGCAACCTTACGACATTAGAAAGAACGTAGTTCAAACGACTGGCTATGTACAAAGCGATTCTTACGATTTATTAAGCGATCAATTGTGGTTTCTTCATAGACTGTAACAGTTTCAGCAATATATGGAAGATTCCCTAGAGATTCTTTTGGAAGGCTTTCGTAGGTACTGTAAGCTTCCGAAGGTCCAGGGAAATTTCCAAAGTTTTAAACAATTTTTACTGTCTTTCGTTAAAAAGTAAGCTTTCCGTTTTCTCTAGAAAGATTACTTCTTTCTTTCTGTATGCTACAGAATTTTCATGAAAGGCTGTACGTAAGTACTATTTGGTTCTTCGAAGAATTTTTAAAAACCTTCGAAGACCTTTTCCAAATCTTTACAAGTGTTAGAAAACTTAGTAATTTTAACAAGATTCTAATAAAGTCTGGAGACATTTCAACGGTTCTTCAACTTTTAATAAACATTGTAGATATAATTGTTTATAATACCTCTAAGGATAAGAAGGAACAATTATAAAACTACACATACTTTCCTCTAGAACTAGGCATTATTTTCTTAACAAATATTACACAATCAGGATCCAGTCGAAACCTTAAATGATTTCTCAGCGATTAAAGAAAATCAATCTAATCTGATTAAGAAAAAGAGAAAAGAACAGAGGAGAAAATGAATAATCTTAGCAGTTTACATAGCGTGAACAATTGTGAATGAAAAATATGATATAAACAAGAAAAGAATACAGACGTAAAATACAAGAGATGTGGAAATACGAATGATGGTGTTCCATTTAAGGCGCTTTCATTTCTATGGCTGTTATGATTGTTCTACGTCTTGTGAATTTGCCGTACCGAGACGGTGGTAGCTGTGCAAGAATTGGCCCGATTCCGCAGAAGAGCTGTGCCCTCCCATCTTCTCTTAAATTGCGCTATTACCTACGCAAGAGCAACATTCATTAGCGAACAGTTTTTTTTCCTTTCTTTGCATACTAGCTAACTAGAACTGGTGTAGGTGGAATTCTTTTACTTACCTCACCGTTGCAGAAACAGAATAAAATGGCCACGCAGAGACCCTGCAAAAGAATTGTCGGTAATTGAACAAATTTGATATTTATATTTGATATATGTACATGTATATCTAAATCTAATATTCATAATATTTGCCCGTATAAGAAATTTTATATTCTACATTTTTGAACTCTGTGACTTGATAATTTTTATTTGTTCAGTTCTTTTAATTAATTTGAAGATATCGAAAGTATAATGAAAGTCGAAGATTGAATGTATTTAGTACTTTTACCTATACGTATAAGAAATAGAATTTAAAATAGAATAGAAGAAAAAGAATTTGTCGACGTGGTAGGTTTTATTCACTCAGTTCCTTTTGACTAAGTCCTTGAAACTAAGTTGAGGAATATACCAGTGTTCGGTGTCTCGAGAAAATTAAATAATCACATTATGAACTGTGATGAAGTTTAAGTGCAAAGTAAAAGAAGACAGAGTATTGGTCGAATTTGATTTGTGTTGAAAACGAAATATAAAGTCGTTGGTACCTGAAAAGAGGCCGTTATGGCGGAGAGAACTTCGTAAAATTGCTCCCAGGGGTGATTTTTCGGCGGTCTGAAGGGGATGACAAGATAATGTAGGCCCAAAAGAGGTACGAGGAGTAACGTCGCTCTGACAAGAAGAAAAATATTAAGTTATAAATATTAAATTAGTATTTGTATTAATTTATCATTTGATTATATAAATATCAAATATTAATTAAAGTAATAATTTGTCGATTAAAAAGAACGAAGAAAGAGAGTATCGTCGACTGTCAATAGTATCTTGAAAACATTCCAGAATCGATGAACTAGAAGTTGAATAAATTTCTTTAGTTCTAATTATGAATAAATGAATAATTCTCTTAACTAAACTAGGACACAGAAAGGAATTATAATTAATTACCGAAATGCTTGACGCATAGACCTGGAAGGTTGCGTGCCAATCGTAGGACCAGCTCTCAGTTTCATCAATAGAACTCGAACGATGTTGAAGAGGAAAAGCACGTTCAACAGGGTGGAAACGCAGACTGGGTAGACCAGCACGTTCATATAGTTACCCTCGTTGATCCAACATCTAACATATCAAAGCAGTCTGATATAATCTATTTATAGCGTTGTAAAGAAATTTTCGTTCAAACTACCCCTCACAAGATTAAACGCATCGATCAAGAAGAAATATTCATATAACAAGCAATCCGAAGCTCACAACCGAATATTCGATCAAAAGAAATCTTATGAAATCCTAATTACTTCTTGAAAGCTACCTTCCAGAATATTTCCAAATTTTCTGAAATTCGGCTAATTTCGAGCCCCTGTTCCTAATTTATTTTTTAAAATATCTCACTCTATCGAGTTTCTTGGTTCTATTTGGTTCGACCCTTTCATTGTTGATTTTATAGTCCAGTGACAAGATGCTCGATGCTGAAGACATTTTGCGATCGATTGATTTTACGCTATGCGGAATCCGCGGAATTTATGGCCTCAGCGTGGCGAACACGAATTTCATAGAGCGTACTATTACGGTTTTATTGGTCAAAGGTTCGAAAGTTCGTCGTTGACAAGGATCGCGAAATGCGAAATTTGTTTTACACTTTCCTGACGATTAATAAATATTCTTCCACGTGGTGAAGCAACGTGAACATTATTCAACATAAATATCGTGCTGATCATTAACTCCTATAACAGAATCCCTTTGTTCATTACGGAGTTCGTGGTCTTTGGTAAACGACGCTAATTCAATTGCCATGGTTTTGATCCTTCGATGTACGTCTTTCATGGTGTGTCGCGATGCCGCAGGTACATTCCTACTTGCATCTATCGTATACGTAGCCTATTTGAAATCAAATAGGAGCTTGTTTCTCCCTTTGCAAACACAGTTGTTACGAGCCAGCTGTTTCTATCAAATTTTAGCATATTTATATAGTTCGATAAATTTGATAAATTTGGATCCCATCGATAGCGTCTTTAATTGGTAAAGTTATTTCGAACGCGAACCAAGACTTATTTCTTTTTAAAGGAAAGTGTATTTTCGAAAGGTAATATGTTTTACAGATTTTGCTATTGGAAATTATTAAAGTAAAACACACGTGTATATCGAAATAACAAAATTCGAAGTTTTCGTAATAGGATTTATGTGACAAATCAACCGTCGTTTGTATTTTTCAATATCTCTCTTATAAAATGTTCCACAAAATGTTCACGAAAAATTCTGTTGGCTATTCACTCTGTAATTTTTGTTATTTATATTTCTTATTTTTCTTTGTATACCTTCTACTGTTTAACGTGTGTCACAGTTTACAAGAAATTTACTGTTTTTCTTTTTTTATCTCTTTTGATATTTTCTTCGTTGCACTTTCGAAAAAGATATCCCGAAAATATTCTACCAACAATTCGCTGTAATTTTTACTCTGTAACTTGTATTTCTCTCGTATTATTATCCCATCTCACACTCTTCTTATCAATATCCATTTCCAAGAAACAGAAAACACCATTATTCGATAGCAAAAATTTATGTGCCAAGACGTTAATACGACTATAATTAAGATATTTGCGAGGTGCATATGTCAAATAGCCATTGATTTGATAATTACTGTAGCACTTACTGTCCGGTGTCCGCAGGGTCATCACTGATCGCCCTTAAAGAGGCATAAATCGTGACGATGACCGCAGGTACAGGCCAACCAAGACCCATCAGCCATTTTACTAATTTATGCTCGCTGGTGAAAGCGCTAACGAGCAGGGTGTGCAGATAAAAACCCTCGCACAACATCCAGGCGTAATTAGTAAGTAGAAAGTAATGCAGGATAATGTGTAGCAGCCGACACGTTATCTGAAAATTGTACAATCTGTTCACTTCTATATATATATCCCTCTCTCTATATATATGTATTGTACAATCGATTCATTTCTTTATTTCACTTTTTTAATTCCTTTGAAATTCCTTATTTTGTACGCATTCAAATACTTTGTACGCTTCCAAGTACTAATTACTAATTACAGATAATAATAACGCTGTACGAATGTAATAAAGTAACGCAGATGTGCAAGAATTTCTTTTTCTCTTGTCGTTCTCGAAAATAATCTCATTTCCATTCTATTTGCAATTTAAATTAAACGTGTTATTTAAATCTGTGTATCGTTTTTATTTTTATTATTATTTTATTATTGCCGTCCAACGTTAATTTAATATTCCAATTGCGCAAGCAAGAGAATAACACAAAGGACGTGTAACGCAGTAAAAAATTGTCAAAATATATGTGAGAATCGTTTCGCAATTATCATATCTTCTTTATAAATTCAATTTATAAATTCATCTTATGTAACGCGCTATGTTCAAATTGTTACCGATAGTCGGTACATCAGTTTGACGGTCGTACATCGGCGTTTTTATCTTACACCTCGCTTTACTTTTCCACGTTCATCGTTCTGAAAGAGTAATTGGCGCATCTAGGTTATGTAATATTCTATCTGAAATAGCCGATAGCCCCCCCCCCCAAAAAAT